GGCCGCCTTAAGGGGCCGGCGTCACCTACGAGGCGATTCCCGGGCTGCCCCGCCCTCGCTCGGGAAAGGGGGCGGAGCGCACTTGAAGGCGCGGGCGGTGGCTCGCCGTGGGGAAGCGTCCGGGCCGCGAGCCGCCCGTCGCCGTGGTTACGGGGCGGTGTTTCGCTGCCTCCAGTCAGGCCTGGGGGCGGGTGTTTAACGTATATACACACAAGCATACATATACATGTGTAGGTAAGGTGTGTATACATGTAAACAGCTGTATATATGTGTGCACAGGTAGGATTTAAATATATAAACAGAGTTTTAAAGAGGCCCCCCCTGTCTCCCCCAGTCACAGCCATTTTGCAGGCTGCTCCTTAAAACCCCTGTTTTCACCCCAAAGAGATAGGCCCAGCTGCCTGGTCGTTTCATATGGTGCCTTCTCAGGATCTGGATAGTCCGCCTTTGACAGGGCCCTGTGCTGCTTGTAATCCGCACCAAGAAGGGCACATCATTTTTTTAGAGCAGTATTTTTCGAGCCTTAGATTTTTAGGACCCCATTTTTGACCCAAGAATGGCCTTTTTGAGGGAGATTTTGCGCAGCCCTTTGGATACACCTCCCGAGGGAGATTTTCTTCAGATATCTCCCATGTCTGCTTTTTGGCTCTTCTTCTTGTTTCATATCTTCTCTGATACAGATTTTTTCCCAATTTCATTATTAATTTTAAATGATTTAGAGCCAAGAAGGCTGTCTAATTAAAACAGCAGGCTTAAGCAACAAAATTTTCACTTGAAACATTTAGCTAAGTGCTACATTTGCTGACTTGCTTGGCTCTGAGTCTCTGAAGCATAAGTAGCATAAGAATAGGAAGTGACAAATTGTTTCCAAAGTGTCTTAATTTGGGAAAACCACCTGTAATGCCAACCTGTGAATTACCACACAGCGTTAGTGACCACTTTAAGAGGCAATATTGATACTGGCTGAGGCACACCACCCGTATCATGTGAGCTGGTGTAGGATGTTAACCTTGTGGTCTGGTCACAGTTTGTAAGCAGCTACCGAGCTCAGCATTTCTGGGCTTATTTTGAGGCATGCAAACAGAAAATGATATGGAGACACTTGCACTGTACCCTCCCATACTGTAAATCCTTTGGCTGTCATCAACAAGCAAAAAACCCGTAGGAGTTTTAATACAAGCTTACACCTTGGTACAGCTGCTGCTAATGTAAATGGCTTTGTAGCTACAATAAATACATATATATACACACACACCCTCCCCCGACTTAACTTGTCCAAACAATCAAAAGGTAGAAACAAGTTAAGTTACCATCTTCTGTTTCAGCTGGGTTGAAGGGTTTTTCTCTTAAGCACGAAAGGCTGCATCTTTTCGCATTGCAAATGTCTAAATTAAGACCTTACTGTTCTCATAGTCTGCTTGCAGTAATGGGAACTGGCTTCTTCATGTAGCTTGTTTGCTCTTGAGGAAATAAAAGCTCTAGAAAAAAAAGTATTTGTCTCTAGAGCAAGTAATTCATGGTTACCTTTATGTGTACCACACAGGTCCCACCCAACCCTGCGCTACAGCAAAAGGTGTTAGTCATACATGTAAGACATTGTAGACAAAAGAAGTTTCCATTTAACATACATGGATTCGTTGTTGTTTATCCAGCATTTGCAGAGAAATTACTTAGAACTGTGTTTAAAGCAAGAAGGTAGATTTTTTTTCCCCACAAGCACAAAAGATACCTGAATATGTTAATTTGAGCTTTTTAATGTATATACAAATGTTTTAGACCAGTCACAATTTAATTGAGTATATACTGTATTTACAAAAATTACAATAATTTAGTCAAACAGTAAACCTGAACATTGATAACCTCTGTCGCTACCAGATATGACAAGAAATTTTTTTTTTAGTTAACTATTTTGATATACATACGTCCTAATACTTTCATGCATCCATAAAAACATCAGTGATGGAAGTAATCAAAGCTTAAGTGGGGTAGGGTTTCTTTTGGTAGATAAAGTTTAATGATGGATTTGTATTTTGTGAATGTATGAGTATCCAGAGTTATGTGCCATGACAAACTCGATACAAAGCTAATGTAGTTTTCATTATTAAAAAAGTACATTATAGTAATGAGATCCTTTTTATTATATAGGCATAGGTCACAATATCTACAAATGTGAATGAGAAACAATAAACCAACAAATCACAGGAACATGATTCACATTCCAGTTATCTCTTTAAATAAGACAAGCACATACTGGATCAAAACATTAATAAATAACATCCAGTTTGTTACTATTATCTTAAGGTCTTTTATATAAAAGGAGACCTATGTGTTGGTTTCACATTTTCAATTAATGGTAGTAAATAATGGACCAATACAACGAAAGGATGACTTTTATACAGAAAGCAATGTACTTTGACACACTGTCTTTGCAGTAAAAGTTTTGCCACTTGAAAATGTAAGTGCAACAACAAGTGGATTGTCTTTAAAAACCACCAGCTTTAAAGGCTCACATCGGATGGCAACCTGTTCCTTAAGCAGTAAATACAAATTATTTCCTGCCCATCTTCTGAATATACCTGCCCTTTCAACGCTCAAATACAGATACAACATGTTGGTAAATAAACTGCTAGCTTTAGTTATTCTACAAAAGGAGAATGCCAGAATTAGGGGTGAAAGAGCATAACTTGTTTAACTAGGAAAGATGCTTCAGCTTTAGCATCAGAGATACTTCCTTGTGAAATTATTGCTTTGGTCCAATATAAACTTTTAAGGTAATCAATTTGCACTGTATTTACCTCAAAAATCAGACCTGGTCCACAGATGTCTACACGACAGCTTGTACACCATGGTCTGAAAAGTGAAGTTGCAACAGGTTGCATTCTGCCAAGAGCCTTTGCCAAGTGCTCTGGAGCTGATAAAGGCATAGAGGTGACACAAGTGGGCTGGAAAAAGGCTTCTGAATCCTCAGGAGGGAAAGTGTTACCTATAGACTGGGAAGTTTCCAAAACTTTACAGCAGAGTTTTAGTTTGTTGATATGTCTTTTGTTTGATGGTTTCAAGCTATTGATGAGAACTTCATGGGAAATGCAGTACATGCTCATTCCTCACTTTCACAGATGTGGATTCACCCTTCCCACCCAATTCCCTATTCCCCCAGAACTGCTATTTAACAAACCAACAAGGTGCCGTTTAACATCAGTTACTTGTTTGCTTTAAAAGACACTTACTCTATAATGCTGAGGAATTTCTTCTGCACATTTCACTGCTGGACTATGCGGTGAAGTACAGTATTAATGTATAAAGCAGTAGTCAGCTGCCACACTGATCTAACCCAGGATTCAGCTTTGTCTCTGTTCAGGCATACTATACTATATGAGCAATTAAGCAGCAAATGGTGACTGTTAGAAGTGTGCCTAAACCACATCTGAGTACTTAAATTTGATAAAGTTTGATCCAAACCTAGGAAGAAAGTACATCGAAGTTTGGGCTTCACCACCAGTTACTGAACTCAGCTGAAGTGTTGCCATATCACGTCTCACAAAAAAAGTAGGAAATTCACCAGCTATGCTGTGTCGGAGACAAAACAACTCCACCTTTTCCCAGAATGTGTTCTCTCTTGCCCCACTTGAATCCAAAGAAAAATACAAAAGTTACAAGAAACTGTAACCCCGTGGCTTGCATATGGCAAGCCAGGTGGCTAGAGTTCCTCTGAGCTCAGGATTCTTGATACAAATATAAGGAAACCTTTCTCTTGTTCTTCATGATAAGTATTAGGCTCTTAGTTTTCTGAAACTTCTGAATTTCCAGCCAGAGTTTAGTTGATCTGTGACATTTGTGACAAGAGACTATATAAGCACTAGCACAGGTCTGTAGTGGAGACTGAGAAAGTACCTAATACAAAGGTTTTTGTCCTTGGTTTTCAAATTCTGACCAGGCATCATTTAGCTCCATAAATATCATCTTTGCATATTGTTCATATGGCTGCCCAGTAGCCTGGAATAGAAACAGAAAGAGGGATATCACATCTACCAAATCAGACTACAAAAAGTTGACATCTGAGCAGCTAGATTCTCAAGCAGTTATTGTTCACTTTCCACAAATGGTTTTCCCTTATTCTTTGACAAGAATAAGGTACTGTTGAGGGCTGCTTACCTTGTTTACAGCTTAAGAATTCATTGGTTCTTCAGCTCTTCCGCTCCTCAGAGCTGATAACCCCCCAAGTGTGATAAAGCATTGCAGTCCCAAGGGCAAAAAAATTTAACCTAGGCTT